GGTTCAATTTCTTGTTTAACCAAAGAAATAAAAACTTGGAAGACCTTGTGGATGCCTTTTTTTTCAGAACTACAAATAGTATAGTGTATTTAAAAACTTTTAAAATTTGAATACGTAATTAACTATTAATTTTTTGTTTCCATTTTATTGCATTAATCCTCCCTCCTTCACCCAATTATTAACGATATAAAAGATATTACCTAATTATCTTAGAGATATGTATTGTTTAAAATAGATTATTTTTATGTTTCAAATATTACTTATCTTATATGTAACTTGAGTGTATAAAGTATCAATGAAATCCCTCTCCACATATTGTGTCGAGAGTTAAAATTCTTATATGGTATCAGCCATCTTGTTGGCCTATATTTAGTGGTTTATGCTTTGTTTTGAATGTATTATGTTGTTAGCGGTTTGGACGAAATCACATAGTGATTTCGGTGGGCTTAGTGTGTTCTCGGTGGGCTTATTATGTATGGACTTTAGGTTATCGGTTTAGTATATATATGGTCTGTGTATAGCCTTTTAAGGCTAATGCATTTTTGGTGAATACTAGTGATTCACGGCTGAAGAATGATTGAATGTACTTGACGATTATTCAATAGAATTGTGTGCATTCACCTTATTGAAACGTGTTCTTGATATATTGAATTGATTGTTTCGCATCATTGTTTGATTAAGATTTTGCATTAATTCAAACAATTGCATTGATACATTGATAGATCCGAGTTCAGGGACTTACAAGTGATATCAGAGCCTTAAAACCGACTTAAGGCCGTTTTGGTATCAATTGCTTTCGAAACATTAATTCGTTGTGGTGTTTTTGGGTAGAGTTGGGAAAAAGGAATTTGTTGTTCTTCGTGTTCATTTTCTTAGTGTTCTTCACTAATTTTGGAGGATATTGCGTTAGAGATCGTTTTTGGTAATTTACCAAATTTAGGATTCATTGGATAAGGAAACACGATCAAACCTTGATTTCGTTTAGGTTTTAGTGTTATCGACGGCTGAATAACGTTCTCGCTAACAAGATATAGAGTTCTCGGATTGGAAGAGTTGTCGGCCAAGATATATAGTTCTCGGTCAACTGTTTTCGGTCAAACAGTTGACTTGTAGGGATTTCGGTCAAACTGGTTGACTTTCAAGGTTTTCGGTCAAAGGGCATTTATCTTGGTTTTCGGTCAAAGTCAAATTACACAATCAGATTCCTTTATGTTGGTAAATAATGAGTTCCTACAATAGTACCAAGGAGGTTAGTGAAGTCTCATGCTCTCAGTCCTGTGAATGTAAAATAAATAAATATCGTGAACAAAATGAATTATTAGTTAGAGAGGTTTTTGACCTTAAAAATGAAATATATGAAATTAAGAAAGTAAATAAACCGCTTAAGAAAAACTAGAAGCACAAACTAAAGATTTAAGCAGGATTAAAGAAGAATATAGCACCAAATGTGTTCACTATCGTTTTGCCAAGGAGAAAATTGCAAACTTAACTGCTGAACTTGATACATTAAAAGCTAAATTTAAAGATGCTGAATTTAATTTTAAGAAATTCGATGTGTCAAGTGAGATAGTTGAGTCAATGATAGAAAAACAATTAAAGTGGAAAGATAAACAGGGTGAGGGTCTAGGGTATCATAGTTTTCCACCTCCTTTCAATGATAACTATACTCCGCCTCCTGAAACCAAAGAGATAGAGTCACCTGCACAATATGGCCAGCCCCCTGTAACTGCCTCAATCAAGACTGAATAGTCCGACCCAACTGAGAGTATTAATGTGAACGGTACTAATGTTTCTACTTCATGTGAAGATAAAGTAACAGTGCAAGACAGGTGTGAGAAAAACAAATATAATTCTAGTTTTGATGAAAACTCTTCAAAAGCTAACAATTTTAAGCCACATAAAGTTGTGAAACAATCTGTTAAATGTTTTTGTACTTGTGGAAATTCAGATGGGTACCAAAAGGTCCCACTCCCAAATCTCCTAAAAATTCTAACATCTCTTCGTTTTCTATGTTTGATAAACAGGATATGACTTGGGAACGCGTATCATGCGTAGATGGCAAAGGTCAACCCATTTTCAAAATGGACTGGGTTCCCAAAACTAATTAATCCCGCACTCTGTGCCGGAGCAGCTATGGAGGAATATCATCAGACATTGGTATGTTGATAGTGGCTGTTCCAGGCACATGATAGGAGACATATCTCATTTGCACGACATTCAGAAATTTTATTGGAGAGCATGTGTCCTTTGCGGGAAAGGAAAAGGAAAGATCACAAATGGGGATTACATTAATTGCTGAATTACGGTTTGAATTTTCTGACTCTTCTATTCTCTGTGATAATAGTGCTGATTTTTTATCGTCCAAAAACCTATTTTTTTTCTTAAACCAAGCTCGTGCTTTTGGGATTTCTTAAGATGATTCGTTTCGAAGACTGAAATTTCTTTTCGTTTTTATTTAGTATTTCTTTTTTTCTTCCATTTTGTTTTACTTTTAGAAAAAGAAATTTTGTGTCAGTCTTTTGGGAAGTGATATGAGTTAGTAATAAAGGACTATGGCTAATGGACTAGACAATGTGGACTCTTTTGGACTTAGAAAACCTCATTTGGCCTGACAATACGACGCTTGGATAGATTTAACAGTAAAATAGACAAGGAGGCCTATGACATAAATTGAAGCTAACTATCATCTAGATCTGTGGCTCAACACTTCATTGGCGTATGAACTTGTGTCCTTAATTCTTGTATTGACAGAGGGTGACTAAGGGGTTATGATAAATTGGGTCTGTTTAAAATCATTATTCTTTCTCTCTCTTAGTCAGCCATATATTGTACCCTCTGCTTGATCGGAAGATCCGACCTTGGACACAACATATGCACTCAGATGATGTTCACTGCTTTTAAGTCAGTATATTGTCTCCTACAAATATCTTACTCTCTATGTTAGTCATATTTGTCCCCTCTACGTGATCGGTAGATCCGACCTGGGACACAACATATGCATTCCACAATGATTATCTACTCACCTAAAGTAAAGGATTCTGAAGAAATTTCCTTGATTACCGGGGTATGCCATGAAGTGGGGAACATGTTCCAGTGTACTAACACTAACTGCACCCATAACTAAAGGCTGACTGGTAGATTTTACTGGCTAAATTTAAGTGTACAACAATATCCCTGGTCGTCGTCAGACAAAATGGTCTATCTAGGAATATAGTAGCTATATATCGTCACTCATGATCTGTCCTGAAAAATGTCATTTGTGTTTAAGTGGATCACAATATCAATGATTGACTAGAGCTTTTCATGAACGTGTGTACTGATAAACCTCGTTAATTTGCTTCATAACGTTTGATCCCAAAAGTTTTTGTTTTATTAGAATCTGTTTATTACATTTTTGTTTTTATTTAAGTTTGTACATATTTTCATTGTTATGCACAAATTTAGGGGAAAAATTATAAAAAATTAACAAAAAAAATAAAAAAATAATAAATAATAAATAAAAATAATAAAATAATAAAAAGTGTGTTTAATTTTATTTTAATTTTCGTATTTGGTTTTTGAAACATAAAATCGAAAGAAATCCTTTTTATTAAAAAACGGGTATTTCTTTTGGGTCGAAATCGTTTAGGTGGGCCATCTGGGTCGTCTTTTCGGTAATATATATATATATATATATATATATATATATATATATATATATATATATATATATATATATATATATATATATATATATATATATATATATTGTGTTTTCGGCTGGTTAGGGTTTCTCACCGAAAAACCCCAAACAGTCATCATCGTCATTTTCTCTCTTCTTTCTTCGAGTTTTTCTGCTAAAACCTACTCAATCGTTGCCTTTGTTGCAAATTGTTCGGTGAATCAAGTATTTTTTGGGTTTTCGATCATGGCAATGGCATTTAAGTTGTTTTTGGTGTACTCGGTTTCATAAATTTGCAGGTTTTCGAGTGGATTTTTCAAGATTTTCGAAGAACTGAGTTGGAACAGGTTCCGATGAGATTTCGGCTTTTCGGTTTAACCCGGATTCGACCGAGAACAGATGAAGATCCGACCCAATCTGTCTGAAATCTGGGTTCTCGGCCAAAATCAGCCAACGTTGACCGAAATCGTCTGGTCAACAAGTGATTTCGACCGAATTCGATCAATTTTGACCGAAATCAACTGAAATCTTGACTTTAACCGAAATCGAGTGAAATTTTGACTTTAACCGAAATCAGATTTCAGACTCAATTTAATTAATTTTTAAATTAATTCTCACTTAGCTAGTTTGGTGCAGATAAATGGCAGGGCAACTTAAATTTGTAGACTCTCACAACATTGTTGGATATCTCATGGATCCACCTGCTACTCATCAAGAATTCAAATCCATGATGGTGGGCTTGAACAACTGCAGGATATCTCAAGCGCTTCGTGCCAATCCAATCATTCACAGAGACCTGATCACTGATTTCTGAAAAAATGCTTCAATCAACAAGCTAGGAGCAAATGGAGCTGGTACAGTGGAATCTATGGTGAAAGGAACACAAGTGATTATCTATGAACAAATTATCCGAGAGGTACTCGAGTTTGGTGATGCATTTGCATTCCCAATTGAGTACTCTGCTGATCGTGTCAAGGAAGTTCTGGAGACAATGTGTTATGAAGGAAACTATCTGCCCCCTATCAAGAAGCTACTGCTACCCTACTGGAGGTTCCTGGAACACTCCATTGTGATTTGCATTTCCGGAAAAAAGGGAGGCTCTGACGAAATTAGTCAGACTGTGACCTCAGCCATTGTTGCTCTGGCTATGGACTGGGATTACAACTTCTAAAAGTTTGTTTTCGAAGAAATGAAGAGCAACCTCCTGGGAAAGAAAAAGGACCTATTTTTGATGTACCCCAGGCTCCTTCAAATGATCTTTAATGAAAAATATCCTCAAATCGAAAGGACATCTGATACATTGAATATGAAAGCTTTGGGTCTCAACACTTTTGGACTCATGAAACAATCGAGAAAGGCTGCCAATGTTTCTTATCAAGGATTAAAGGAGTTAGTTAAATTTGGAAAGTTTTTTGAGATTGAAGACACTCCTGCTGTTAGCTCAATAAATGTTGAGGTTGCCGACGAACACGTGGCGCCCAAACCAAAGTTTCAATTCGCCTTTGAAGAGATTGAAGTATCTGATGATGATGATGATCAAGGGGATCAAGAAAATGAATTGATAGAAAATGAGTTTGAAGATTTTATTCAGCAAAGTATTTCAAACCCAGAAGAGGATGCAGCTGTCACACCTCCAACTGAGACTGAAAGGGAAAGTGACACAGTGGTGCGATCTTCCATACCGACCCTTGAACAGATGGATGCTCTTATAGCAGAACTTTAGCGAACTGCAAGGAATCCTCCCCAAACAGTTCCTGTTGATACTGAACCTCCATTTGAAAGTGATCCAGAAGACTCAACCAATGCTTTACTCCCAAGGAAGCGAAAGAGAAGAGATCCAAGGTCGGGAGTGCTTATCACAGACCCAGTTCACAGGAAATCTACACCAATTGAGCCTGGTTCGATGGCTCAAAACATACAAGGCACATTCATTGAGTCCTCTCCAGTGATTCAAGACATACCTAGCCCAATCCCTGAGCCCATTCCTATGGATCAGGATTTTCAAAGCCCGATTGTTGAAGAAGAAGTCATACCTTCAGAAGGAGCTCAAGCTTCAGGAAGCTCATTTGAAACACCCGAGCTGGATATCTCCAAGGTCAAAAGCAAGTTGCCTGAATCTGAATTAGTTGATGTCGTTTTGCTTCAGAACAGAGTCTTTGATTTGGAACAAAGCTCTGCTGAAAAGGATTTGATTATTGGAAAGCAGGACATTCGAATCAGCGAGCTTGAGAAAGAGAACTCCAATAAAGATTCAAGATCTCAGAACTTCAAGCAAATCTCGGTGGTCTAACTGCTCTATTCTTTGATCTGAAACAGTGCCTATTTCAAAATTTTGGTGATGAATTTCAACCTTTGAGCGCTGAAGGAGAAAAGATCATTGCTTCTAGTTCAGGTCCCGCCAATCTAGCTTCACAATCTTCAAGTGAAAGAGCTACAAGACCTGCTCCAGATGCTAATCTTGATACATTCTTATCTTCTGCTTCTCTTTCTTCTCAAGAAAGACGAGAGAAGCAAATTAGGGTTGAGCAGCTGAATGGAAAATGCTCTTGATGAAGAACTCAGATCAAAATGCTCCGGGTGATCACCCTGAAATGTTCTTCAGGGAAACCGGAAAGAAGTTCACTGAAAAATATGGTGATCGTTTTGGTATCATGATGTGGGGATACGATGTTGATAAGAATATGTGGATCGTGACGCAGAAAAGTGGAAGAATTGAATATTATTAGAAGAAAGGTGACTTCTTTTCCAAGACAAAAGTTGATCTTTTAGAACTCATCCACGCACCATTCCACAATCCAACCAATGATACCATGGCATGGTCCTTTAAGAATTTTCTTGAGATTAAAGTGAAAAATAACTTTGAAGACTTAAAGACTGCTTCATCGTTTACTAAGAAGGCCAAGGGTGTCATTGATCCACGCACAAACAAAGCAATGGTGAATGTCATGTGGCCACCCACAAAGCAAGCCAAAAGGATTCCTCTTCCCAAGCACTTACCTGAAGGCACTTTCGATATAATGCAATCCTGGGTTTATGATGAGGCTACTGCAACGGTGGTGATCAAACTGAAGAAGAACTAGTTTCGTATTATTGATCCCAAGGATTTGTTGAAGTTTGGAGAACGTGATATCTGCACTTTATCAAACTTTCAAATTATCATAGAGAATGAACTATTTGAGGCTGCCGCGAAAGCTTTCATTGGTATGGTAGCTACAATTATTGATAATAAGCTGTGGGCAGGGGCTTTTGACCAAGCAGATGTGCATCTCGTAGAGAAACCTTGAAGAGAACAGAAAGCAATAAACCAAGGGGAAGATTGTTGGGATATATTTAGTGGTTTATGCTTTGTTTTGAATGTATTATGTTGTTCTCGGTTTGGACCGAAATCACCTAGTGATTTCGGTGGTCTTAGTGTGTTCTCGGTGGGCTTATTATGTATGGGCTTTAGGTTATCGGTTTAGTAAATATATGGTCTGTGTATAGCCTTTTAAGGCTAATGCGTTTTTGGTGAATACTAGTGATTCACGGCTGAAGAGTGATTGAATGTACTTGACGTTTATTCAATAGAATTGTGTGCATTCACCTTATTGAAACATGTTCTTGATATATTGAATTGATTGTTTCGCATCATTGTTTGATTAAGATTCCGCATTAATTCAAACAATTGCATTGATACTTTGATAGATCCGAGTTCAGGGACTTACACATCTAAATCGATCCCTTTCACCATTTTTTTAACCTCTGTCAACATCTTCTTTCTTCCTTGATCTCTATGACCGGTGGGGATATAGAATCTTCCCTCCCTCTATCTACCTTATTTCACCTTCTTACCATTAAACTTTCCTCCTCCAATTACCTATTATGGAGACATCAAATTGAGCCTTTACTATCCTTCCAGCAGCTTTTCGATCATGTTGACGGAACTACTTCAGCACCGGCAACTACTATTACCACCACAGATACTACTACTTCCACCACCGTGTCTGCTGAAAACCCTGAATTTGTTCGTTGGAAAGAGGATGATAAGAAAGTCTTGTTTCTCCTTCAGTCCTCTCTCACCGAAGAGGCCATGACGGAGGTTCTAGGATTAAAAACGGCTTGTGATGTATAGACTGCTCTTGAAAACGCATACAATCACGACTCCATCGAGCATATGCAAACTCTACGCGATTCTCTACGTCAACTCAAGAAATTTACTTCTTCTGTTATTGGGTATGGACATAAATTCAAAGTTATTTGTGATCAATTAGCTGCTATTGGATATCATGTTGATGATTATGACAAAAGTCATTGGTTCTTAAGTGGCCTTGGAAACCCATTTGAGCACTTCTCTATCTCCCAACGTGTCATTAAACCTCGACCCTCTTTTAAAGATTTGTTATCCCAAGCTGAAGGACATGAGTTATTTGTCCAAACTCTAAACCCCACAATGATCCCATATGCTTCTTTTATATCCACTCAAACCTATGGAGGTTTTTCAAATAGACGAGGATGTGGCAACTTCAATGGAGACAGAAACTGATGAGGTTTCAATGGAGGTCTTGGCATAGTAATGTGAATTAAGAGCATTGATTTGGCATGTGGAGATAATTGAACACAAAGAACACTGTGATTTGGGTGCTAAAAGATGTATTCGATCATAGTAAATGAGTACAAAAAGGAACTAGACTAGAACTTCATAAATATCTCACTCACTAGTCACTATGAACTACATCTCTCAAGCACACCTCTACAAGTGGCATGAAACCCACTATATATAGAGGTGCTTACATATCTCTCTCTCTCTCTCTCTCTTTATATATATATATATATATATATATATATATATATATATATATATATATATCATGTCACAAGGCATCACAACCACATGCAAGTGGGTCTACAAGAGTCAAACCATTACAAAGTAATTCATGAATAACTTTGCACCCCAACATTCTCCCCTTCACAGTTAGGAATGGATGACCCGCTTCAATCTTCCAAAAATAAGCAACTTCACGAACCAAGCATCAAGCGTGACAAATGTAGAAATGAACTTCAAATCTTCAATTCTTCATTGTCCTTCCAATTCGGGTTCTAGAGTGTGAGACCGTACAAACCGAGCATCAAAAGGTAATTAGGAGTATCCAAACCTCCACAAATTACCCAAATTTGAGCATAAAAGCACACCCCAAAAATCTTCAATAAGTCCAAACCCATCATGAACTAATCACTTCCGAATCTCAAATCAAACCACTTCATAAACCTCAATTTCTCAAGGTTACTTCGGTCTTCAAGTCTGCGTAATATGAAAAATTCAACTTTCGAATTCTCATATTTAATTCTCTCCCCCTTTTTATATTTGAAAAATGATTATAAAACCGAAAATGAATGAGAAAGCGCTCAATTTGGAATTTTCCATACAAAACTCCCCCTTAACACATGCAATAAATGTGTTGCATAAATCCGGAAAATCCAAAAATATCTCAATTTTCGAATTCGTTCTCGCACCGCCTTTGACGATTTTCAAAAATTTGGGTAGAAACTATCAACTTCAAAATTCTGCAGTGACCAGTTGCGCCCAAAACAGCCTCAGATGCGAAACTTTACCCCAATTGTGAAACTGGGCATAAAGTGTTAATTCGCATTAACTTTAGGGACCTGTTACGAAAATATTCCTATTTCTCAGAATTTTTGGCCCAATGTCGAAACTGGGTAAATTTTGCCAACTTGCGAAAACTGCAGGTATGTGAAATGGAAATTCAACATTGTGCACATTTTATGACCCCATGTCGAAAGTGGGTTAATATTGTCAATTCGTTGAAAGTTGGGGGATTCGAATCGACCCTTTCTGTTTCTTCTTCACTGTACTTCGCTATTCAGTATCGTTCAAAGACCTTCGTTATCACATCTATATCGACCCATAGCGAAGGTACATTCAAATTGTTCAAATAGCGAAGGAACCTTCGACATCCAAAACGATCAGCAAACTATCAAGCCACCTTGTTTGACATCAACTACTCGTTATTGATACCTTCCTAATCCAACATTTCAAGACCAACACATTTCTATCTCCTTAAATTTCCATTCGTTATCACGTCATCGATCTCATCCCACCATCCCAATCTTCACTTTGAACCATTGTTGAAATCCAAATTTCCCATCGAAACCAAGACTCATCGATTTCTTTATCACAGACCCAATCTTCTTTCTCCTTCGATGATTGAAGTCCATTAACGAGACAAGAAAAGGACGATAACGAAATCAAAAATCTTTTCAATATCGAAAACCATTAAAGGATTTATCATTCATCCTCCAATCTCGAAACTACAAATATCTCAATCTTCCCATTCGACATCAGTAATCAAACTCGATTCCAAACCTTTTGTTGACCACTTACAAAGTCGTTCGTTCTCAAGCCATATACAGTCAATTACGTTCGATACTAAAACCAAGTCAATTAGACCTTCGATGTCAAAATTAACTCCATTGAATACCAAGTATCCGTCATTCGACATCAACATTGACCACAAAGGGTTCGATTTCCAAATCATCGTCAAGTGTCGAACAAAACTCACATCACAGTTGTCGACACCAAGAGCTCAAACCCAGTCAAATTTTGAAATTAAACCCAAATCATACACAATTTTGACATCCACAACCCAAGTTCAACTTGTATTAACCAATTTCAGCCTTCAATTCATAGAATCAACACTTGAAAATCGAGTTTGACTTTTTCTGAGT